AAAAACGGGGCTTCAGTAGCATGTGTGATCCCAGTGGCGTTGGTATATTTGGACGTGGGGTACAGTATTGACTTCAAGAGTAACGTCAGTGCCGCGATTGCAATCGCCAGTCGGAGGGGTTTAGACAAGGTGATGCACGTTGAAGCCTGCCAGCCAGCTTTGATGACAGGAAAATGAGACGGGGAGACAGCACAGTATACAGAGTGGGACCCAATCAAACCCTGACGGATGCAATGGCGAAGTACGTGAGCATACATGGTTTGTCCATGCAGTTGCGAATCATTAGCCAACGCGCCACCGCAGGCAGGCGCGTGGGGGCTCTGACCACTGAATTCTGACGCGATGTCTTACCGTGGGGGTTGCCGTGGGCGAGTTGCGGCTCGAGCTCGCTTGAGATCCAGGTGCTCGTCGTGGCGCGGCCGTCGTGCTTGCCGCTGCTTGCGACGGTGGTTTGTAACGGCTAGTTTTAATGGCGCGGTCTGATGCATCCCCAGGACGGCAGTTTTTTCCCTCGTGCCTGGAGCGACGGTTTGAAGTCTTGAGCAGACGCGTATGAGATGCCCGCCGTCGGGTCCAATTAAGGTCGCGCGGATCCAAATTTGGTCTTGATTTGTGTTCTGGTGGGTCCGATTTCTGTCTGCGCGGTTACGATTTCGGATGCTCCCGGATCCGCGTCCCACTTGATTTTGCACGGCGGATCCGATTTCGACCCTTTTTGAAAACTTATATTTTTCAATTGAGATAGGGGGCCGGAAGAAACCGGATCCGCGGACCCCGCAAACCGCCCGTGTCAGGATTCTACGGGGGAGGGGGGTTCGGTAATCAATTTTCCACGATGGGCCCCGCGCCGTCTCGCGCGCTCCCATCAAATCCCCGCGCGGGCGGGCCCCATTCAACATGAACGCATGCATCCCTCTCCTCCTGGTTGCTGCAAACAGCTCGCCTGGTCGCCGTCCGTTCGGCAGCGTCGACGTTGTTGCGCGAACTCCTCATGACCATTTTCACCTCAAGAGGAAAGTCTTTCGTCCTGCTTAAGTATTTGGTTCGCATCTTGCCATTCAGTTTGCTGCGCTGTATATTCGTTGCCAGCGTCTCCTGACCCGACGGGCGGCCTCTGCGCTCTCTCGCGCGACGAGGCGGCGCCTCGCGCTCGGCGCGGGCTCCGTCGTCGCGCATCCTGGCCAAACCCCATCAGGGGTCGCCGCCGAACGGGCACGCGGGGGGCAGTATATTTTTCAACATGTGGACTTCGATGGAGGGGGATTTGCTGTCATCAAAGTGTTCATCTCGCCAGAGACGAAGGCGACGATCGATCTTCTCTGAGCGGAAGGCAACTTCTTCTTCTTGCGAGGGCGTCTCAGGCGGGGGCCCCACCTCCACCACCTCCCTCCTCCTCGTTCTCCTTTCCGCCTCCCACGCGTAAAAGGTCGCGGACAGGAAGGGCTCCTGCTACGTTCTGGGCGCTGGCGTGCCCCGGCGCGATCTGGAGCCCAGCGCAGCGCTAGCAAAAAAGGGGGCCTTCCCCTGGTTGGCGGGCTCCGGCGTGGCCCACTGCGACTCCGAATCCAAAGCGCAGGCTTTTGCGAGGACGTCCCGAACGGGAACTCCAATCAACGCGCAGGGTTCTTTTTCTGGGTGTTGCGAGGGCGTCTCGAGCGGGAACTCCTGACTGCGCGTTGCGGGGGAAGTGTGGCGAGGTGCGTCGCGTGGGCAACGTGGCAGCCAAAATGTCCGAAGGCCAAAACGCCCGTGCGTTTCGGCCCTGCGTATCCTGGCCCTATGGGCGGCCTCTGCGCTCTCTCGCGCGACGAGGCGGCGCCTCGCGCTCGGCGCGGGCCCCGTCGTCGCGCGTCCTGACCGGCCCCCGTCAGGGCTCGCCGCCGAACGGGCACGCGGATGGCAGTGCATTTCTTCAACGCGTGGACCTCGATGGAAGGCGATCGGCTTTCGTCGAAGTGTTCATCTCGCCAGAGACGAAGGCGACGATCGATTTTTCCGAGCGCAAGGGGACTTTTTCTTTCTGCGAGGGCGTCTCAGGCGGGAGCCCCACCTCCTCCCCCCCCCCCTCCTCCTCGTTCTCCTTTCCGCCTCCCGCGCGTGAAAGATCGTGGACAGGAAGGGCTCCTGCCACGTCGTGGGCGCTGGCATGCCCCGGCGCGATCCGGGGCCGAGCGCGGCGCTCCTTCCCCTGGTCGGCGGGCGCCGGCGTGGCCCACCGCGACTTCGAATCCAAAGCGCAGGCTTTTAACGGGAACTCCAATCAACGCGCGGGGTTCTTTTTCCGGGCGTTGCGAGGGCGTCTCGAGCGGGAGCTCCTGACTGCGCGTTGCGGGGGAATTGTGGTGATGCGTGGTGCGTGGGCAACGTGGTTACCAACGTGTCCGAAGGCCAAAGCGCCCATCCCCAGGGCGAAAGTTTTGCCCTCTTGGGTCTGGAGCGAAGGTTTGAAGTTTTGAGCAGACGCGTATGAGATACCCGCCGTCGGATCCAATTGAGGTCGCGCGGATCCAATGTTGGTCTTGATTTGTGTTTCGGTGGATCCGATTTCTGTGTGCGCGGTTATGATTTCGGATTGTCCTGGATCCGCGTCCCACCTGATTTTGCACGGCGGATCCGATGTCGATTCTATTTTGAATTTATATTATCACATTGAAGCAGGGGGCCAGAAGAAACCGTATCCGCGGACCCAGCCAGTCGCCCGTGTTAAGATTCTACGGGGGGGGGGTCTGTAATCAATTTTCCACGATGGGCCCTGCGTTGTCTCGCGCACTCCCATCAACTCCCCGCGCGAGCGGGCCCCATTCAACATGAACCCTCTCCCCCCGGTTGCTGCGACCAGCTCGCCCGGTCGCCGTCCGTTCGGCGGCGCCGACGTTGCCTCGCGAACTCCTCATGGCCATTTTCACCTCAAGAGGAAAATCTTTCGTCCTGCGTAAATGTTTGGTCCGCATCTTGCCATTCAGTTTGCTGCGCTGAAGGTTCGTTGCCAACGTCTGATTTGTTCATTGTGTTGGCCTTGTGCATCTGGTTATATTTAACGACTATTGCCCGCTGTGCGTGGTTGCCGCTGGCATTTGTGGTCATCTGGCCGAGGGAAGTGCTAAAATGTCCGCCTTCGCGCTTGGGGGAACTGCCCATGCAGCATTGCTGACCAGATGACATCAGGGCCGCAACTGTTTGGCCATTTACTGTTTGTGGAATGCTGCGACGCACTGTCACAGCGCCTCTCATCATACCTGTCGGCATCGTGTAAATCCTGCTGGATTCGGAGGGCGAGGAGGAGGTGGGGATTCTATCGGGGATCGGAGCTCGAGCGTTCGAGCGTTTCTGGCCTTGGTGGGCCTCTGGGGGCGCCCCCGTGGCCGCGGCTGGATGCTCGCCGAAATTCTGGTCGCAGCGCGTCCCGGGGCAGGTCCGGGAGTTGCCGCCGCCGCCGCCGTCGTCGTGCGTCGTCTTGCATCGTCGGGCTCGTCGTGTTTCGCTTTTGCCGTCGTCGCCGTTGGCCTTCGGGCCGCCGTTCGC